TTCATAAATCTGTGGGGAGAAATTTGGTGCAAAATACCAAGGTGGGAAATGACTAGGGGAGTATTAAAAAAAAAAACGACTAGGGGAGTGCACTGTGATGGTTCGAGCTGGTGGGAACTACCAGAAGGTTGTAGTTGTTAGAGGGGACCATTAGCGCGAGGAGGAGGACAAGTAGACGGAATCTTATGTGCCAGTGTGTGGAAGTGACGAGTTGGGAAATTTTGGGAAGAGAAAAAAGAGGTTGGCAAGGGAAAAGGGGGATGCACAACTTCGCTTTGTATGAGTACGGCTTGGGGATATGATCAGCCAACTGACTGGTGGCGGTGCCCCACTTGGGGATTTTTAGTTCCAGTTTTGAGTATTTTTCTATCTGGCCACTCTGTGGCCGTGAGATTTTCAGATCGGATGGAAGGGACCAGTGGATACACCGCCCAAAACAGCTGCGGCTCCTCGGATGGGTTGTTAGTTCTGGTTTCGAGTCTCTTTCAATGCGGTCAAGCTGTGGCCGAGAGATTTTCAGATCGGATGGAAGGGACCCAAATTACTCCGTCGAAAATGGCCGCGGCTCCTTCGATGGCATACGGCAACGACTGTTTGAACCTGCCGCCGGGCTGCGCTCAAACGACCGTTGCGGTGGCGGGTTTTACTTTCCTCTTTCTCTCACTCTGTGCCTGCGGTGTTGTGCCTGAAGATCTGGCCAGTTGCATTCACACTAAGTTCACACGGCATAGTGTAATGCATCCTCTCTCCCTCCCTCCCTCCCTCCCTTATCCCACTATCAGAAGTGTTGTGCCTGAAGACATGGAGAGTTCCGTTCAGACTTGGCCCCAAAGTGAAATAGGTGGGTTTGCCTGGCGTGGCGACATGCACCCTCTCCCTCCCTCTCTCTCTCTCTCTCTCTCTCTCCCCGCGCCTCCCTCTCTACCCCCGCTCCCCCCCTCCCTCTACCTCCCTCATCCCTCCATCCATCCTTTCATTCGCTTAGGGCAACTCCATTGTTGTGGGGGTGCTATTTTGCAAGCGGGAGAGGATTTGTGCAATGCAGAGAGGCAGGGGGAGAAGGAACAGTAGGGGGAGGTCAAGTGCCTGGTCAATCAGGCCATCAAAATCTTGAGAGGCTGGAATAGCAGGAGAAGGATGGGAGGAGGAGGAGGAGAGGGTCCGGATTTCATCGGCCAGGATTGGATGCGACGACATAGGAAGGAGAAGGAGAGTCCCCTGGAAAGGCAGATTGCCACTTTCAAGGAGGGTGTGTAGGGGGAGGACGTTGAGGAGGGTCCTAAAGTAAATCGAAGGAGGATGTAGGTCAGGAACCCAATTTGCGAAGAAGGGGATGGGCAGCGCGGATTGGGAGGGGGTCAATCAGGATGTGGGATAGAGAGGAGGAGAAGGTCGGAATGTCAGCCACTCACAGGTAGGATGCAGGGACCAGTGAAGTGCAGGGGAAAGAACACTATGCCAAGTGGTTGAGGAATGTTGGCCGTGTAGGGGGATCCCGACAAGGTGGGGAAGAAGAGATTGCAAGGCATAAAGAGGGGCTCACCTCGGAGGGAGGGAGAAGAGGTAAGGAAAGGAGTGAGCAGGATCAGAATGAAGGGGCTGAATCAGGAGAGGGATATGGTAAATTTGGATTTGCAGATGATTGTTACATGCACAGATATGCCTGGTTTGGTGCCTGAGTTTCAGGGCCGGTCGTTCTGGTGAACGACCGAAAATAGCCCTTCGTTTCAGGCTAAAAAGGCTCTTGCCATTTTTAGTTTGAAACGACACAGGGACTGTAGGCCCCTGATTTCAGGCTGAATTCTAGGCTTTTTGGCTGAAGGGCGCAGGGCCTGGAAAATGGCCTGCGTGTGCAGGCGCAGCATGTAACATGATGGAGGAATGAAGAGAGAAAGAGCTATGGATGAGATGACGAGAGGAATGGACATACCAGATCCGCATGGGAGTGTGTGTGTGTGTGTGTGTGTGTGCATGCATGCGTGCGTGGGAGAGAGAGAGAGAGAGAGAGAGAGACAGAGAGAGAGAAGGGGGCCGGAGATGCATAAGAGGGCATTTGACTGTTGTTAATGATCGGACGCAACCCTTGGGGCGAGGGGGGGAGAGAGAGAGAGAGAGAGAGAAGGGTGCCGGAGGCGCATAAGAGGGCATTTGACTGTTGTTAATGATCGGACGCAACCCCTGGGGTGGTGGGGGGGGGGGAGAGAGAGAGAGAGAGAGAGAGAAGGGGGCCGGAGGCGCATAAGAGGGCATTTGACTGTTGTTAATGATCGGACGCAACCCCTGGGGCGAGGGGGAGAGAGGGATGGATAGGAGAGAATAGTAAGAGAATGGAGAAATGAGGGAGGAAGAGATGGCGAGAGGGGCAGGGCAGAGAGAGATCCCAGTTGGATAGTACTCTTTTGGGCCATGATCTTCTCTTCCTGGACGCACTCCCCTCCGCACTCCATGTTTCGCCATAGATGATTCCTTTAAAAGGGAGATGGTGACGTAATACTACATCTTTTTGAGCGCTTCGTCTCTATCATGTACCTCCCCCCCCCCCCAACCGCTCTTTGTGCTGCTATGCTGTCATCTGTACGTCTCCTCCTATCACTCTGTTGCTATCATCCCTTTATTTCTTTTGTTTGTGTGAATTTCAATCTCAATTCTACTGGTGGGGATGTTGCCGCACTGGGTGCATTGCTTTTTCATATTTTGTGCATGCCGGCGTTGTTGACACCAACACCAAATGCTCATGAGCTCTGATTTTAATCAAAGTCACAATGTTTGTCAATTCCGTTCAGTGGAGCCTTCTTCCGTTCATCAAGATAATGAATGGATTGATTAAATCGTGAAAAATATTGTTATCCAACTTATACTTTCCATTGCTTGATTTTTCCACGTCTGTTTCTTCACACTCACAGCCATCATCGAGTATTAATTTAATTAATCCACCATGCTACACATATCATCGGATTCTTATCGGTGTAGGGTTTCCTTCTTCCTAACACCATCTTTGTGGGGATCATTCCTCTGATTTTTGTGGGGTCCACTGGGGGTTTCAAAAGTTGTTGATATGATATGGGTGGTAGTTGTAATTGTGCGGGTGTAGCAGTGACTTCCTTTCATAACATTTGCTCGTCAGGGGCCATACCCCCAGTGTCCTGACCAGTGGTTGGACTGCTTATGTGTGTGGCTGGCAGCATTGGCTGCCCACTCGTGCCACCCAGCTTATGAACTGTGCTGAATCTGCTGATGTATTATTGGATACTTTCTTTAGATCTAACCCTGCGTGCAATGAAACTGGCAATTGCTGGCTCAACTGCCGGATGGTTAACAACTGCAATTGTGATGTGGTGATCAAAAGTTTAGCAATGGACCGCCTTTCCGTCCTGTGCATGGCTGCAGTGAGATCCCAACATTCCCTGAACCCCCGAATGACATCACTTGAGACCCTCTGCAGGGCACATGGACCATCCTCATGCAGCCATCTGGTGCGGGTATGTGTGGGTGTTTCATCTGGCATGACCAGCAAAATCACGGACTGAGAACACTGCTGATTTCTGAGTTTTCTGCTGGAATGTGTGACTTGCGGAGATTCCCACTGTCTGCTGAGATTTCTTAGTCTGTGTCTCTGTCTACTTGGTGGTTCCCGTGTGCCTGTCTGAGTGCATGATTGTTTGGGTGTGTGTGTGACCTGCCAAGGTACTTGTATGTTCGGAAGGCCCTTGACCCGTGGCCGTTCTTTTGTGGGGTTGCAGCGGGGACATAGCCTAAGGCCCTCGAGCCTGGCACTTACCTGTGGCCATGCGTTTGTGGGGTTGCAGCGGGGACGTAGTGGTGGCCGTTCTTTTGTGGGGTTGCAGCGGG